GGAGAGGGGAAAAGGGAGAGACGGGTCGAGCGAGCGTAGGGTAGCAATTGATGGGACAGGGTGGCGCGTTTGTTGAGCTAATTACTGTAAGGCGAGGCGCTTACTCGCGCCGCTACATACAAACGGCATTAAAGGTGGTGGTCATCAATCCTCGGTAGGGCCCCTTCGCCCGCCCTGGCGAGTCGGTCCCTCTCCCCCTTCCCTTCTTGTCGCTCTGCTGCGGAGAACCTCTCTCCTTGCGTCCCTCATCTTGCGTCCTCTTAAGCCGCGACATTAAGGATGCAGCCGAATCATCGCGAGTCTCGATGTGATCCAATCGCTAACGCCGGCAAATGACCACTTCGACCCATAACTGCCGGATTATTTAAAATGGTATATAGCACCGTACCCCAATTTTTATGGATATTATACGACCGTAGAGATAAGCGCAATGCTCAAGGAACGCTTCGTTCAACGACGCGCCGTCCATCCTACCTGAATCCGATCGGCATCGAAAAAGAATCTTTTTATAATTAATTTGGCCGCGCGCGATAGGAACGATTCCGACAGTAATCATTACGTTTGCGCGGATCTGAATATCTCGCGTCATTTGATTCGATAAATGACTTTCGCAGGACATGCATAGCGCGCGTTTAATTAACCGGATTCTACGATGCCTGTGTAATTCCTTCTGAGGGGAGTAGGCATCGATATTTTTGACGCCGCGGTAATTAATATCGTCGCTTAATTGTATAAGCCGCAATAGGGAAGGATGCGCATTTATTTTACATTTGTTTAATGCCAAGATGGATTATTATTGGCGTTACAACCCGATGTGTACGTATAGCTATACAGGATACAAATGACGCAATATTAATTGGCCGAGATCCGCATTGGTCGAGTCTGTCGATTTCTATCCAGCTACATGCGCTAGATTGAACAAATTAATATCCCTCCGTCTCTAATTAACCGGTTTTCCTCCTTTAGTCAAAGTTCGAAGTCGCATTTGATTATCGCCTTATATCTCAGTGTCCTAAAGTAAACGTTCAGATGTAAACAAATTAAAAATGTAACGTACATATGTTGCACGTCTCGTTGGGAAAAATCAATAACAGAATCATTGAACAATTATGATTCATCTACCTTCCTAAACTCAAAATGCAACGATTATGTTCGATTGTTCTCTACGAACTTATCGAATTTCATGGATACTGAGGGGAGACAATTCGGGAGCGCTCCTTGCGTGTCCCGCGTTTCGGACCAGCGTATCATCAGCGGCGATTCATTGCGTGTCCGCCCCCCGATCTCCAAACGTCGGACGATAATTTCCGAAGTCCGTCTCGGAAGGACTTCATTAATCGCCGCGGAACGTCGGCGCTCCGGGGAGAACTCGAAAACTGGTGGCGTACATCATCAGCGGCCGGATACCTGGTGTGGGTGAGCCTGGTCCCGCACCGCGGGCGAGTGCGCCCGTGAGGGTGTCGCGCGTGTACCAGGTTCCAGGTGCCCCCGGGACCGGCGCGTCATCGGCCGCCGAGCGTCACAATATAAATAACAGCCCGGCTGATAATTAAGACGGCGCGGCGTTTCGGCGCGAGCCGACACCCGCTGTCTCCGACGCGACATCGGACTCGCGCGCGTGTAGACACGCGAGGTCGCGGGAGCGCAAGATATATCGCCCTGGACCCGCGACCACGACGGAATTCCAGCGGAATTCCCGCGAAAGGGAGGGGGCGAGGGGGTCAACGAGTATCGGTAAGAGTCTTTCGCTTTGTGCGTCTGCCTTCCCGCGTCTCGCACGGAAACGAAGCGACCAGGAGGTGGGAGGATCGAAGAAAATAAGAAAGACGCGCGGAAGAATCGCGCCATGTGCGAGAGGGTCTCCGCCGCGGTGGAAGGTATTGCGTGGATTCATCTGGATAAAACCGCGGCGCGATCAATCACTCGGTGATTAACTGCGCTACCTACGGAATCGAACTCGCCCGTAATTTATGGCGGTTTTTCTAGATAAGATATAAGGAACGTGTCGAGGTGCGTGACACAGGTGTTCATGTAGGAAGCGAGCTCGTTATTGAAATAACGCGCTCGTTGTACCCGTCGTGATATAAGCGACTTCCACGCGCGTATATATCTCAAACGCTTGACGAGATCGTAATGGAAGCGAGTCATTTAATTTGTTCGTGCAGATAAACATCACATCGGATCCGTCACCGAACAAGTCTTTTCCTAATTAAAAGAAATATTTATTACCATCCTTTGACTCGAGAATATTAATGTTGATAATTTTCAAATTAAAATCTCATCTTGCATAATAATTACGCATAACACTGCTTTATTTTTAATTCCACGGCATAAAATCTTCGATTCCTTAATCGCGCAACTTACTGCTTGGACTCTGTATTATTTAGTTCCTCTTTTTAGTTTTTAAGCCAAATATATTGTCAATATTAATGATCATGTTTCGAAGAAAACGTAATATCGTTTGACTTCATATGTCCTCCCGAAAAATTCAACGACGAAGAAGAAAAAAGAATTAATTTTTACGATCAGCTGGGACAAGGAGTTAACTATCGCGCGCGCGAGTGCACGAATGCTATTGTGAATGCGCCGGCTCCTATGCCATCGATATAACTTTCCAAGTGTAATTGAGGGAATAAAGTCCGCGAAATTTCGCGAGCCACGACGCTGGCGTGGATCGTAAAGAGGATGAGCATGTCCCGGCGTAACCTGAGGCTGCGAAGGGGCTGCAGTAACGCGACGAGGACACGTCGGGAAATGAAAACGAGGGGCGTCCCGGTGCCGGCGACGTTCTACCAACCCCACGGGGAGCCGGCACGTTATATCTTCATTAAGCAGTATACCTAACCGTCCTGTCGCGCGACTTCTTAGCACTTCGCAGCCCGCGCTAATTTCACGTTAACTTCTTCTTTCTACATATCGGTTTCTCCGCTCCCCGTGACGTCGCGTAAAGACATTGGAAGAACGAGCAGGCCGCGAATTGTCGTCTTTCTTCACGTTAACCACGATAACACGATATCTTTGTAACATTTTTTTTATTATGTAATTTTGTATTTAATTTTACCTTTTTCGATTATTATTACTTCTAAACAAGACAGTTTTTATCGAGATGTGTTTATACTTTCCGAGAAAATCTAGAATAAATTTAAGGGATTTTATTATATTAATGATTATTTAGTAATTTACTAAAAATTTACTAAGAATCTTTTTTTTTCAATCTTAAGATATAATTGTTATGTGTCTAACACATAGTCTTTTTTTTAACAAAAATGTGCAATTTAATCGATAACTTGTGTTTATTAAGCGCATACCTGTTAAACTATTTTTCTCGATTTCCGCATTGACAGAAAATATTTATCAAAAAATGTCCTGTAAAAAAAAGGCTAGATTCTTGTGTCCCTTCAATTTATAGGCTTAAATCTTTTCAGAGATAGGACCTCCTATGCAATCAAATGAAGTGTCACTCACTTCTGGTTTTCATTAAACCGGACAGCCTTAACAACCTCGATCCTTTCGGCAGTGGAGGAACCGCCAGCGCGAGAGCAGTCTCCTTAGAATTTAATCGCGACCCTTTGTCCGCCAAGTAACGCCCGCAAGTCTCAGGATCGTGTCGATATACCATTGGGTCCTCTCCGACGGGTGTTGCGGAGGAAATTCCAAGTCCCCGAATCGCCGTAAGATCGGGACGCATCGTTATGGGTCCGCGCGCTCCTGCGTGTCTCTCTCTCTCTCTCTCTCTCTCTCTCTCTTTCTCTCTCGTTCGCTCGCGGGCGGTATCAGGCCGGTCCAGAAGGAGGACGCGATCGTAAATATTCGGGCGCCAAATAATGCCGGTTCCGAGCGAGAGCAAGCGACCACGACTGCCGCTCGACCCGTAATGAAGGACATCCTCGTTAATTAGTCAATAAATTATCCTTCGCGCTCACGACGCCCGTGGTCGGTCCTCTCGCTCGCTCGCCGCCGCGCCACCCGTCTCCTCTCGTCTCGTCTCCGGGATTGCTCGAGAAGGTCGCATACTTTACGACACCTATCTCGCGCGACAGCGCGATGCATTTCTTACAATCAGCGGCACCCGAAAGACGGAAAATGCACATCTCGTAGGACGATCTACGAGGTGGTCCATCGCGTTGCTCGGATCGAGAGGCTTGTCGACGTTCGCGCGGGAATGCATCCTCTCTGATAGCGAGATGATGGTCGATCACGACGAAAATAGATCCTCGAAACGACCTCGCGCGAACCTGTTTCGACACAAGTGTCGAGATAGTCAGTTTGATGTTATAAAAAACACCTGATGTGGCAAGAATTAAATACGGAATGCAAGAACTGACATATTTACGCTTATATTGTTAGAGCTCCGCACAAAAGCCGACAATCGAGCTGACCATGTCGCTTCTTTAGAATCACACGCAACTTAGATCGTGCAATGCAATTATTTTCGAATTCTTGTGCTGACCACTGTAAATACATGTTCGCACCCTGGTAGAAGCACGTGCGTGCTGCGCCACGCAGGTGGACGACAGCGGGATCCTCCCGTAGTGTCCCGCACGGTATAATGTCGTGCACCTAGCATAAAGATCCGATCCTATATACGTGTTCGAGTTACATACCGTGCCACGTGACCGTACATCACTTTAACTTCCTGGCTCGGTACGATTCTGCCGGCTCACGCGGCCGCGAAGGACGGTGCTCATCCTTTCCGAGAAATCCCGGCGTGAAGAACCGAGCTGCAAGATGTGCCGATGAGAAGGTTCAAAAAAAAAAAAAACTCGGATATATTAACGTACCTCGAGTTACGATAATCATCGATGTTGAAATCACAGATTATTATTTGTGTGGTATGACGCGAGGGAATTAAGGAATTTTTACGTGAGTATCGCTATCTTTTTCTTTTATTATGAACAATAAAAAAATGGGATTTTTTTTTAAATAAGGAACGTATATGCAATCCTAAGGGAAGTTAAGAGATCGTTTAGATATATACGATTAATATACTTTATCGATTCAGTACATGGTTATATATATAAATCACTAATTTAATAAAATGATAAAAATTAAGTGAACATTTAGTTCTCTCACTTTTTTGACTAATTTGGTCTGAAAATGTTATTCGTATAATTGTTCGCATCATTTGGCGTGGGAAAGTCTTCAGCGTGAGCTTCCAGCAGATGAGCACGAAGTTCCTTGGCAAAATTCGTGCAGAACGGATCCGTTTCTTTTCCTTTCTTCTTCTTGCAAAAGTCACACTCGTAGATCGTCTTACCCGGATGCAGATTCGTCGATAGTATGTGCTTCCGGAGATTTTCCTGCGAACAAAGGAATTATCCTGACTTAAACAAAACGATTAATTAGACTAGTATTTCGTAACGAAGGCTGCTGACAATCGGTAAAAGTCCAGATGTTTTAACGGCAATGTAATAAATAGTCAATCAATAATCAATATCCCTGTATTCTAACAGCTTTTATTAAATTAATCGAGCACGTTTTACGAGCAAGTTGCTTAATCGTTTTACGCAACTCTTTGATTTCAATCGAATGAGTCTACCTGCCGTTCGGGCGTCGATATTAAAATTTCATTCGAGCTCGAAAATGACCTACGCGCGCGCACACACAAAGGGATCTTTTACCGCGATCGAGCAGCGATTGATCAGGTCTCACATCGACTCGAGTCTCGAATCGAGTACGCATTTTTGTGATACGTCTGGATACACCGTGAATATACTTCTCCGGTGGTGTGCAACCGGAGAAATCGGTTCGCCGCAAAACCGGACGCACACTATCATCGGCTACGCCGTTGGCGCGTTTAAAGGCGCTTTACCCTCTTCGGGCTAAGTAGTCGGCCGTAATCGTAAACATCTTCCTACCAGGCGTTTATACGAGCCGCTGATGGCAATGCGCGGCAACATCAAATTTAATTTCCCATAAGTAAATCTTTCCGCGGGCACTGCTCCGTGACGGGCGCGCAGATTAAGCCTCGTTCACACCGTGGTGGGCGGTCGCGCGGATCGGAGAAGCGGACATGCGCTGTCACGCAAATTCGGCGTGAAGCCGATTTCGTTAGGCCGATCGATTCCGATTGCCCGGAATTTAATTTTGCCGTAGGTATCGAGGAACCGCGCGCTACCGTAGGCCGCCCGAGATGGAAGGACGTACGGTGCGCATTTACGACCGTCGGAAGAGTGGATGGTGACTTTACGAGCCTAATAATTTTCGGGTATACTCGCAGAAGCAGTAAGAAGATGTTAGAGAAAGATGTTAGAAGCAAGAGGTTATTAGAAGAAATGTATTCTGTTCTTTAATATATTACCTAGCAGAAAGCCCGATAGTTAAGTATCTGACGTTCTAACATTTCTACACTACCATTAAAGCTAAAATTTATCGAGTGACAAACAATAAATAATTCTTTATTTTTATTCAAAAATAAATATTGCGTAACGAGAGGTAATCCTATATTTCTCTGAAACTTTTTGCAGTGTCTGATAACATCTGCACCTGCAAGCTATATTTCGTGAATATTTCAACCTTTTCGCATCATTTAAGTTGTCCGGATGTTAGTTATTTTTTGCAAAAGAAACGCGGCCAATTATGATGTAAATAATTATTCGATTGATATGCAAAAATCGCCGAGAACAGTGAAAACCGACTTCACTCTTGGCTACGCGAATAGAATCGTAAAATTATAGGGAAAGAGAAAGAAGCAAGGTGAGGAGACCTTAACCAAATCAACGCTTCATTGAAGGCTCATTCAATTCGTTCACCTTTTTCTTTCCTCTCTCGCTATTTTATGAATAAATAAAATGTAACTACGTATAATATTACGTTAATAATAAAACGGTAATATCCTATTAACTATTAGTCCGAGTCGCAAGATTGCGGAATGTTACATGGGCGCAAAAATATGTTTTACAAAGGCAAAAAGAAAATGCGTGAATGACGCAAAAATTATAAAAACTAATCATTATCATCATACTCATATGTGGCAAATTGTAATTAAACCGGTTCAAAGAAATTAAATTAATTAAACTGAAAAAAACAGGAATAATGAGTACGACCCAAAAGATTAAAACAGAAATAATGAGCTAATTAACGAAACAAAGATCAATATAAATATATCATGAATAAATGCAAATCATTCTTATCGCTTATAGCTTGGTCGAAACAAATTTCTTTACAAATCTTCACCATCAACTCTCACGAATAATAAAATTATTTTTTTAATTTTTATCATCAGATGCGACGCGTTATTTCATCTCAATATTCATGTTCCGCGGCTCGAAGTCTATCGTGATGAAGTAGAAAGCGACTTTTCGACAACTCTCGGCGACCGATGTGGGAAACAGGACGCAAGTTCCGGATTCGGTGTTAACCCGTGTCGGCTTGAGGAGAGTTACCACCCTCGACAAAAGTTTTCCAAGTACCGGCGGTAGCGAGCCGATGGCTACGAGGGGAGGGGCAGGGGGATGGTTTCGAGGCGAGGGCGGAAGCGTCGGTCGGCAAAAAGAGGCATCTAACCGTCTGAGGTAAATCATAGCGCGGAGGGAAGCGAGAAGGAAGAGAAAGGAAAACGGCGCGCGTAATCTCATCGACGCAGGGTGAGCCTTGCGCTCCTCTACGTGGAAGAGTTTCCTCGTTAAATCGTCCCGCACGCTTCTCGCACGTTCCTTCCTTATTAAAGTGCCGTGCAAACAGCTATCGCTCGGATACTACTTGCAGTCAGGATTTCCCGATCATCCCTCTCTCTCTTTCGACGGATTATTTTTTTCCGTCGTTGGTCGCGCGAATTATCGCTGCTTTGAAGTAGGTATAGTCGGACGACGTCTATATATATGTACTATTAGATCATATAATGATATTTTCGAAATGATATTATAATTATATAATTTATTCTATTCTCAATGAATCGAGGACAGAATAAATCTTAAACATTTTGCGCTCATTATACTTTGGCTTATATTTAAAACAATAATCGGTTTTCTTATAGACCGAATCGATATCTACATCTTTTTCTTTATGTAAGAAGATTAAATTTAATAATTAAAACTATAGAATATAATATTGCACGTGCTAGTAAAAGATACAATTAGCACAGCAAAAAAAACAACAATTGAATTGACTTAATAACTTTATCATGAAAGGACTATTGTTTAACACCCAAGCGAGAGTTATTTTTTATTCTTCAGTTTCTACTTCAAGGTACATCGTGTCCTCCGTCATTTTAGATTAAGGATGAAGAACAGCCGATCGGCGCGTTGCGCGAATGCGAATGAGAATCACTGAAATGAGTTTATGTCGCTATATCAAAGAGACACGGAGACCTCGTATGCGAGTCGCATCCCGACTCAAGCATCAAAGGGCATTAGCATACCGGCCGCGCGGTATGACTGGGCCGTGCGTGCGTGTGGGCATCCAGTGGGCACAATTAACTCGTTATCTTATCGCGCCTCGGCGGCGGCAGAGACGGCGGCGCGGTCCAAACGTTAAGGTTGTACTCTGCTTAATTTACGCCACGGAGTCCGGCACCGCCGGGATAAAAATTGGATCCCGCGTCGGGATTGCGGGGTGCGAGTCAACCGCTGCGCCGAGAGAGCCGCCACCGCCCGACGTGAAGGCGAGCCTGAAGACTTTGAACCCCGATGTGACGACCGTGTCGCGAGAACGCGTGTGCGTGTGCGTGCGGTAGGTCTCACGAATACAAACGCGCGCGCACGTAACGTACGAGCAAACGGACGGCGCTACTGGTTTTAGCCAGTACAGAGTATCGCGAATGTTTTGTGACCTTCATCTCTAGAATAACGCTCTGCTAAAAGATCCGATCTCGAATTAGGGTACAGAATCTAAGATAAAGCTCGCACCTCTCTGTTTGCGCAACGATTTAAAATTGTCTAAACTTGACTTACATCAATAATATGAAAAAGTAATTATAAAAATAGTTAATAACTTACCAGAGTGTTACTGGCATAAGGACAATGTCGACACTTGTACGGTTTGGCGCCTGTATGCAGTCTCACATGTCTCCGCAAATTCGAGCCGAGTTTCGTTTTAAAATTGCAGCCCTTGTAAGTGCACGAATGGATCTGAACCTTCTCAGTGCTCGCGGAATCCTCGTGCCGTATCCTATGTCTATGGAGAATTAATACAATCGTTTTAAAACGGGAGCAATGTCAGCGTTAATCGGTGATTGTAAAGTCCGCTAGTGAACATGGGCGATTTTCATGGAAGCGATCGCGTTGCGCATTCTTTCCCGTTAATTAGATCCTCTCGATGTTGAACCACTGACGCACGCAATTAAAGCATAATGATACTGATTTACGTATCCGATATGCACGATTATTGCCATTTAAATGAAAATTCTTATTGGAATCGGGCGGACGCGAAATTTATTGGGGCCAATCGAAGCGTTTTATGAAAGTCTGATTAACGCCCGAGCGCTAATACCGGTCAACGCGGCTATTAACGCCAGATAAACTTTCTACGCCGAGGTGAGGTCGATACCGAGTATCTAATCTCAGAAATATATCTGCCGGGGCATCATACCGGTGTCGCGCATAAAGTAGCCGTTACCGCGATAGCCGCGGAGAGGAGTAGGTACGAGTTTGTCATTGAGAGGAAAGCCAGCCGAGCAACAAGGAGGCAGAAGCGATACGTTCTGGAATGTCTTCGGTAGTAGAAATATTATCAACATCACACACGGTCAACCGATTTATAACAGTAAATCTGCCAGCCATACCTTAAAATCAACGATTGTAACTAACGACTAATTGAACTCATAACAGTGACAAATGGTCTATACGTATATCCTGTAGAGCGCGACATCGATTCCTTCAAGCATGTAGCGGATCTTTTTTTCGCGGTACGATAAAAGAAAGTAACGGAATGCCAGAATTGAAATTTGTGCATGAATACATTCGGGTTCGATTCTAGCACCAAAAGGTCACAAAAAACGGAAATGAAATTATTTATTTAAACGTATTGAAAATAACAAAATCGTCGTTAAATTTATTTATTAAGACTGACAACGCTTCGCAAATCTCGTGCGTCCTAGTATCTGAATCGAAAATATCTTTATATAACCGGGGCACGACAACGTGCTGAAGTGTATATTTTTTTCATTGTGAAAGAGGGGCACGAGATCACATCAAAAATGGATCCTCCACTCCGTTGCCTCTCCTTCTCCTCCTCCGTGCAAAGTTCATCGTCGTAGTCGCGGCCCGGTGATTATGAACGATGCGATATGCGTGCGCGATATTACGAGGGAGCCGTTGGCCGCGAGTACGTGTATATCAGGTTCGAGATGCGTGACACGTTTAATTAAAATCCCGCGTGATTTACTCCGCCGAGCTCACGCGGCAGGGAGGAACGGGGCGGGAAAGGGAGAAAAGAGAAACAGAGGGAGAGGAGAATGAACGAAGGGGGCGCAGGAGGGAGGAGGGGGCGATGCGAGTGGACGTACGCGGAAGAAGAGCGCGTCGGTGGAGGTGAGTCCGCGCGACACACTCTGCGGCTGCGTTGAGTTCGACTCACGTAGTAAGTACTCAATTCGCGATGAAATATCGCGGCGACCATCGGCCATGCGCGGACGATCATAACGGGTTGCCCGCACTTAACCGGCTGCCGCACGCAACTTCCGCTTTCGCGGTCCTCCACCTCGATCTTTCTCTCGCCGCCGCGCCATTCCTCCTCTTCGTTCGTCCTCTCGACCTCCTCTCTCTCCCCCCTCTACCCGCGACATTCGTATTTCTTCGAGAGCCGTCTAGTGGAGCGGGGAAAAAAGCGCGGTGTCAAATAAGGAGAAATTTATTAGGGGCGCTTCTCGCGCCACAATAGCTTTAATAAGGCTTAATTTAAATACGATCTCTTCCCCCCCCTCTCTCTCTCTCGATTTTACGCGAAATCATTACCAGGGAGGCACGATTGGTTTTACATGAACGTTGTATGATCGAATATCGATGAAGAGAAAAGGAGATTCCCGATTGATTAGAGGAGAACTTCTCCATTTTGATGAAAGCGATAAGTCTATTATGCTATCTTCAATTTTCAATTGGCAGATCGATTTATAAGACTCTCTTTTTGTATTGGATGAATCACGATGGTCACGATAATATTTTGTATTTTCAATAAAAGGACAACGCAATAATAAAAGAATAGATCCACGCATATTTTTTTGTACTAACGATCGATTTGCTGTTGTCTGCATCGGTTTTATTTAATGAGATTAAAGCGACGAAAAATACATATAAAAACCTATTATAAAACATTCATATCCATTCCAGTTTTATTCTGCATTTTACTTTTTTAAAAATATCTCCCCGTGTACGCGGCACGTATGACATAGTAAAGCTGAAGGATGATGGAAATACTTGGTGTCTGAATGAATCATTGAACCGCGAATTAATTCAGATATAGATCCCGTCGTCCCGGGCCTTAAAATAACCGGCGAATAAATAGGAGGTAGAGATAAAAGGCGGTACGAAAATTGCCGGCCGTATCGAGGCCATGCGCCGCGCGCATGGAGATGTAATCGGATTTTCGATAAATTACTCTTCAAATTATATCCTCCCCATTGTCTCTATCAATAATCCGCGAAGATTGATTCTTTCCACTATCCGCGTCCTCGCAATTACGTATGCGAGGCGGCGCGCGCGACGCGAGGTACTTGCGTCCTCGCAATTAATTCTCCGCTTCCTCGAAGGCATCGATCATACATACGCGAGCTGTGAGCCGCGCGATTAATGGCGCAAGGAATGCGTCGTTCTCGGCGGGGACCTCGATTAAAATTAATGTCAATAATATCGGCAGTCCGAGAAGTCGTGCCGCCAGCCCCCCGCGAGAGACGGGGGCCGGTGTGGATCGCACGCGAGCTGAATTGTTAAAAAGGACCCTCCCCCGCACATCCCGATGCCTCGCTTCACCTTCACTCCGTTTCAGTTGAGATCGCTAACGAGTTCAAGTATATATCGAGCGCTCGTAACATTTGGACGTAATAGTTGCACTGCTGACGTTGCGTTCGACACGTGGCGATGAGAATCCTACACGCGCGTGCAGTCGACATTTCTGCCACGAAGTTAATAGCTCATGACTTATCCAGAACTTCATAATTTCCTCATACTTGGCGATAATTTATATGAGATGCATTTTCCGGTTTTTTTACACTATCGAAACCTGTACCTTTCTGCGCGCATTTGAAATTTTTAATAACACGGTATAATCTGTCTGATACAATTTATTAAACTGCAGCGGATGCAATAAATTGTAACCCGTCTCGCTTACCTGCGCAACTGCGTCTTCGTTTTAGCAGCGTAGGAGCAATCAGAACAGGAATACTGTTTCTCAATGTTGTCATGGACCAACCTTCGATGCGTCTTCAGCTCGGTTGCGGTGCGAAGAATCGTTGGACAACCCGGAAGGCCGCATTTGTACTGCTTACCGGCGTGTCGCAGCATGTGTTGTCGAAGGGCATGCCTACAATAACATAACACACCCAAAAAAAAGTATTCTATTAACAGAGTGAAATTTCCTGTAATCCCATATTCTAAGCGGAAACTTTTACAGAAAGAGTATTCCTCTGTCAATAAGTGGACTATTCATCAAGAATCTATTACATATTATTCTAACGGGTTTCCTCTTGTATTAAGAGGAATATATGTTTACTTGGAGCTTGGGCTGTACGACGGGACGGGCGGCAGCGCGGGCTCGCGCGGCGAGAGTTTGGCTCGTGCCCGCTACGCGGCGCATCGCCAATATCCTTACTCGTAATTAAGATTCAACATCGACTTTTATATCTAGGGCAGCTCGGGAGGGTTTCTCCACTTTCTTCAGCGTTCGCCAGTCAGAGCGTGCTCACTAGCAGGGCTTCTGACATAACCCTTTTTGTTTACGAAGTGTTCTCCTCATCTGGGGCCTTCGTTTAAACAAATGTATTATAGAAAAAGCAAAATTCAAAAATTTGTTTGGTTTGTTAACAATAAAATATTGATATTAAGAATAACAAGATCGCGTACTATAGACTATAGATGCAAGATGAAATTCCTCTAATTGTAAAAATGCTTGTGCTTAGAATATTTTCCTCTTGATTTTAGAGGATTCCTCTTGAGGCCATAAACAAGAATAAAATCCGCTAAGATTTAGCGGATTCCGCTAAAATTAAAATTATTTTTTTTTGGGTGCATGTATTAAGTACTGCAGAAGATATTGTCTCATTTTCCAAATGTATTTAATTTTTACACTACAGCTTCAAGTCGCACTCAGAACGTATTCCTCGAATACAGTTCTCACTGTTTACTAAAAATTCCTATGTCGTACACCGCAAATAAAAAAGCGTAAGCACACAGCGACCAAAATGTGGTCACCAAATATTCGCTCTGAAATTAAACGACGATAGTTAAGGAATCTTGTGGGTATTTAAAAAAATCCTGAGAAACACGATTGGTACACTGTTAAATATAAAAGAATAAAATTTAATCCAATATCTTGAGTTAAATAACATTTTATTTCTAACTACCATGGGTGTCAAAATTAATTATTTTAACGCAAAACAGTATTATTATAACTCCATTTATTTAGTTAAATTAACGACATATTGAGTAAAAGCAGATGGCGACCTACAGAAATGGTTAAAAATGACTCAAATTGAGTATAATTTGACATTGCGAATTTAACAGTGTATTTTATCTCAGTCAACACATATATTTATACCCCTTACTATGCTTTAACGATAATTTTGCTAATGGGTCCACCAAGTGCACACGACGCATCCTGAAAACATGTCGCCGGAGATCCGCACGATTTTTGGAATACCTAAATACGAGCTAGTGCGGCGTGTCGCGAATAATGATTTTGCGGTGGCGAGAGAGAACGCCCATTCTCGTGCTTTCGTTAGATCCAACCCGTAATAAGACAGCACAATGGTCGCGCGTGTGCTCGGTACGGCGACCATCGGCCGGTTCGCACGCCGTACGATCCGATCGCAGCTGTTGCATCTTATATCAGCCCGTTGCCGCCGGCGGCAGAGCGGAGAGGAGCAAAGCTGAGCGGAGCGCACAGCGCGCATCGCACTTTAAATAGTTCCTGCCGAGAGGTGACGATCTATACGGTTAGTGAACTTGCCGTGCTGCGCTAAGTGAGTCAACAAGACGTATTGAGGCCGGATCTCTAGGTTCTGGTACACGTTTGCCGCGTGCCTCGTCCGCCGCGCGCGGAATTCCCCATCCTTTAACCGCAAGTGAGATACGAGTGCAATACGGCTGCTTTATAATTAGATAGAAACGAACATTCCGCTCCCCCCGTCGTTCGAGGGCAACTTGAATTAGCGGAAGCCGAGCCGGGCGCGCTCGTAAATGCGATAAACACGTGGCGGTACTTTTAATTAACGGCCGACTGGCCGATCGCGACGATACATGTGCGTCAATCTGCTCGACCGCTCGACACACTTTAACTCTAACGCGTGTTATTAATGCAAATTATCGCCGTGTACCATTTCGTGCAAATAAACTCAGAGAAAATTAACTTGTCGTTTTTTTGCAGAAAAAGATCTCACGTATACATTCCGACAAGGCCAGCAGCAGAGTGATTTTCTTCAATATATGGAAGTATTTAGAATTTGCTATTAATATAGCGTGATTTATAGTGATTTAGAAAATATCTTGAGGGAACTGCACCGTGACGTTACGTGCATTCCGCGAAGGGTCGAGCAAGAGAAAATACCGGACGAGGACCGACATGTCCTGTTGCGGAAACCTAATTCGTTCGTTATCGAAATCGGCAGCAAGTTTCCGAACGTAGAATACATAGCGATCCTTCCGTATGTAACCGATCTTCGGTAACCCTTCGTCGTACGTACACCTGTTGGCGGATCTCAGAGCTGGACGCAACCAGAAGGTTCTCGCGGTAGCAAAACGGAGGACATGAATTTTTTCGGGATGGCAGCTCGACGATATTGAAGAGAGCCCGAAGCTGCTCGAAGACCGAGAAATGAGAAGGGCTAAGAGAAAGAGAAGGAAAGTGACAAAGATAGAGAAGAAGGTAAGATGACCAAGGCGACCGGGGAGGAGAGAGGAAGACGAAGTCGTCGAAGGATCTGGGCCGTCCTAGGGGGATCCGGCCTATCCAATCGGCTACGCAAGTGTAACGCCGAGCTTTACAATGTCAGGGATATACACGCCCTCGCACGAGCCCGCGGACGCGTCCGCAGGCTCGCACCTGCGAGCCAGGTAGTCGCGCGAGCCGCGCCTGTCCTGGATTCGGGATTGCCCATGGTGCCGCACTGCGCGGGAAATGGGTTACCCGCTACCGCGTTCTCGCGTGTACTTATATGCGTTTCACTTGCGTGCGGACTGGAGGCAACAGGATAAAGATAAGGATCACGGAGGTGTGTGATCTTACTTTGTCATATCGGATTTCGGGTTTCTTCGGAAGATATCGCGCGCACGATCCAAGAATGCGCCTTGCACAGCTTCCGTTCGCCGTGAATGACGTATCGCTGCGTTTCTCGACGGTTTCTCCTCGTCGCGTTGAGTAATGGCCGAATCGAGCCGGATGTTTGATCGCGTCGTGCGTCGTTATAGCGGGATTTTGACACGAAAATGGCGAGGACGCGGAACACATGGTCATAATGTACGAGCAAAGAGATTTACAATTTGTTTCTTTCGTTTTGTCGAATCCATTTCGCAGCGGAGAGATAAACCAAGCCGCAGACGTAAGGACGGGAATTGTTTATGGAGTCACCGGTGACTCTCCAATGGTATTCAGCAGCGCAATAAAAATCAAGTAATAGAAGGATTAACGATTGACCGTGTATATATAATGTAGATACAGGTAAACAAATTTACGGCAAAGATGGGTGGATAAAATCTCACGTTGCCCGTGTGAAGATTCCTTAAAATATACTCTGCGGAAATATTAAATCCTTTCCAACGCTAAGCTGTTTGGCACCATAATGTTTGGGAGTTTATGTCCGATGGATTAAGCGTTTTCGGCTTCTTTGACTATAAGGATATATTTTGATTCTCCATTGCATCTCTTATCACGTACGATCCCAGTTTCTCTTTTATTCTTCGCGTTTTATCCGGTGACTGTGTTTATTATAACGATATTTCAATTGGCGGTATAAAATAAAATGTAAAAAAGTCGGAATCTCCAGCGTTAACAATTTATTAAGAGCATAAGATATACCAAATGTAAGATATTGCACAAAGATAATTTCTGAGTAAAAGTTCTGATTAAAAACCGTAAGGCAATGTAAAGTAGCGGATGGGAAATCAACGATTTCTCTTATACATATCAGATACATGTCTAATTAAATGCAAGTTTAAAATTGAATTTAATTGCGAATTCAAAAACCGCCAATTAGTATTTGTAGCACCCGGACTATCAAGCGAGAATGTTGATGTACGGCGCTCGTTTCGTACGGTTTCATTTCGTGCGGCGCTCGTAAGGAAGATACATAATTTAGTTAGCCATGGAAGCGGTCGCTCCTTGTTCACAGCGCATCATGTGCACCACGGAAATAATAAAATCCTCGTTACAATAAAATCAAAGAGATTACTCGGTACTCGCGGGCCGTTTCCTTGATAGAAATTAATGACAGGCGTGACTGCATCGGAGTTACCTACGCGGTGAATCGGTTCAAGGCCCGCTTCATGAACGTCGTAATTGCGGTGAATTATGACAGCCGTGCATATCCGAAGACAAGACTTTTCCGCCGGATTGAAGTCGGCGATAAAAGTGACAGCGACGCGTAAAGTCGTATTTTCTCACGTCGCGCCGTGGCGCCTTGAGAATTATTCTTCTCGCAGTATAACGTAAAGAAAAACGCGGAATTCTACTTGGTATATGAACGAAGTACGAGAAATTCATTTCTTGCTTAATCGATGCCTTGTAGCCCCGTAAGAAAGATGCTTTATTCTCGGTACTTAATGTTAGATAGGTATCCTTTTTAACAAAAAAAACGTACTTAGGATTTACTATCATTTGCATTCTTAATACAAGACGTAGTGTTAAAAATTTATGCAGCAATTAAATTGTTCAGTGATATTAACGTTTATGCAAAAGCTTCGCAAGCGCGATAATTGACCTTCATCGGTTGCGGTCAGTCCTACGCGAAAATCCAGATCTATCAAAAAACCCACGACCGCCATTCGTAAGGACCGATCTCGCTCGGTACCATCCAGCCTGTGAATTATGAGAAATCGTTGAGAAATCCTATGCGCGCGAAGCCTGGCGGGAGTGCGACTCCGCTGGAATTCTGATAGAACAATATTAATATCGGCGTCGGACGAGAGAGTGAAGAGGAGGAAAGGTATAGGAGAAGTGAGAGGAGAAAGAGGAGATGGATGCCACAGGTCTAACTCCGCGTTTTTCGGCCGGGAATGTCGCAGGCGTGACAAGAGGTCGTTAAGGGGAGCTTCTCAGTCGCTCGATTGGGCAAGCGGATGCGGTCACCGGGCGGATGATTTAGCGCGACG